CTTGTCATTGCATGAATCATACTGTATAGCAATTATTTCTTTATACATTCTTTTGTCTACTATTTCAAAGGAAGAAAGGACATATGTCATAGGCATCCAATAAGTATTTATTGGATTAACTAAATTAAATTTAATCTAGGAAAACATTCTTACAAGGTTTCACTATCTAGTAGGAAAAACAAAACAAAAAAAAAAACAGAAAAAAGAAATTCAAACACCACTAGAAATGAGTATCAACTATGCCAAAACAGAAAATTCCAGCCAGAAAAACTATAAGAAATCTATTAAGTAGCTCTATGTAGATACATAAATGTAAAGGGACCAGATACAGTTGGAGTAGGCTTCTAAACACTACAGTCACATTATCAGTCATTTGGCTCTCCAGTTTGCAGTCATGGCCAACAATTTCTCCTAAATAAATGGACTCCTTATTCAAAGAGCTTACCTGTATCACAGCCGGTGCCTTTGATCAACCAGATGAGAAGCAAGTGAGGTGAGGTCAAGCATGTCTTCAAAGGGGCTGTTGTGTGACAGTCCCTAGGGACTTCTCAGTGATACTGGTATTACCAAAGTGTAGCAGCAAGATCTCACCATGATGCTCCATGAGACTTAATATTTGTAATGGCTGTATTTTTTGGCCGAAAACAAGGAAACCTACACAGGGTGGCTAATGAGAAAAAATGCTCTTCATTTGCCTCCCTTCTTTTTTCAATAGCATTCTAGTCAGTTTAACCCAAGAATAGTTTAATGGTATAGTTTTGATAAGTGGACAAATATACCATGTACTGTCCCAATTCCCTGAAGTTCAGCCCCTTCCCTACTTAACGGATTATGTTGTCTCCCTTTCCCTTCACACTCTCCAGTGGCCCCACTGCATCTCCTGCTAGCCACAGACAGACCCCATCACTGTGAAGGTCCACCAGCCACCAAAGCTCCTTCACCTCCCAGAGGGTTTTCAGAACTCTCCAGCCTGACTGAATAGTTTCAGGGCATACTACGATGTTGGAGATGCTGCTTAATTTTGACCCATATGGCAACAAAGAAAAGAGATACATCCATGGTAGCTGACATATAGAGGGTTTTATTAGAATGAGCAATAAGGGGATTCTCACATTAATGTAAACATTTCTCCAAAACTTTCTATCAGGTAGCTTCATTTTATTGAGGCTATTTCCATCTTTCCCCTTTAAGTTTACTGGTCTGTAATCTTAACTCTACTTCTGAATTACATTCAAATTATTTCTTTTTCTCATTTTAAATTACATTCCTGTCACTTTATTTTTACCACAGACATATACATTTCTAAAGCATAAAAATGTATTATTTTAAATATTTGTGATTTTCTTACCAAGATATGGAAGCAGCCCGAGTGTCCATCAATAGATGAGTGGATAAAACAACTATGGGACACTTACACAATGGAGTTCTACTCAGCTGCAATAGAAAAGAAAGTTTACCCTATGCAGCAATATGGATAGACCGGGAGAACATTATGCTAAGTGAAATAAGCCAGTCAGAGAAAGATAAATTCCATATGATTTCACTCATAGGTGGAATCTAATGAACAAACTGAACTAACAAACAAAAAAGAGACAGATTCATAGATGGAGAGCAGATGACAATTGGGGGTTTAGGGTGTGGAGGGATTGAGCAAAATGGAAAAAGGACTCACGGACATGGACAACAGAGTGGTGACTGCTAGTGGAGAGAGGAGTATAATGGGACTAAATGGTAATGGGAAAAAAGTACATAGAGATTAAATTTAAAAAAATAAATAAATATTTACTATTTTCACATATTAGCATTTCTGACAGAATGTGATCTTGATCCAAAACAAGGCCTCATTTTTTAAAGGACCCTTTCAAAACAGGTTTCAAAATCAGGACATTACTGGTTTTAAAAACATTCTACCCCTGGCTTAACCTGACAAGATATATTCTCTCATCACTATAACTCGACCAGAAATTAAAGTTTGGTAGGTAAATTAAAGATAAAAGGCATAAAGCTTCTCCCACAAAAGTCTGGCAAGAAAATCTTTATTTGCTTTGTTAGAAGGAAAGCAATATAATGCAATTGATTATAAATAACCTCAACATTTTTCTGCACAGGTTTGTAAAAGAATGCCAAATATCTTCCCCATTTCTATTCATGTCTTCAAAATCATAAAAAGTAATTTAAAAAAGATGAATTTATGGCAAGGGAAAATATGTTACTTACAAGTGCTAAATTTAAAGCCAGTGTCAGGATTTTCCCAAATTGTAGTTTTAACCTGCAATAAAATCTCAATACTTTGTGAGTTCTTAACCTCATCAGTTAGTTTGAACTGTCTCAAAAATAACTAAGCTGCTTCATGGCTTCCAAATTCATTTCTAGCTCCTATCTCTTAAACCAAAAACCACAGAGGAGCTTCTGTAGCTAAAATAGTGAGACATCCTTACTTGATATTCATTACTTATATCAGGCTTAAAAAAAAAAAAATCTAGTAGGGCAAGTGGGGCAAGTATTATCCATGTTTTATGGATGGAGAATCTGAAATAAAATCCACGTCCAAGAACACAAAGCTATTTAATAGCAGAACCCAAGGAAGAGGCCAGGGGTTCTGGTTTCTAGTCCAGCTGTCTTTGCACTTTGAAGCCAGTTTGGTTATTCCCCAGACTTTAAATTCCTGGGGCTTTTAGTTTTATTGTTGACACTATTACAGGTGTCCTTCATTTTCAGTCTCTTTGCCCCCTTCCACCCAGGCCCCACCCCCTCTCCCCTGGCCCTTACAACACTATTGTCTGTGTCCACAGGCCAGGCATATATGTTCTTTGGCTAATCTCTTTACCCTCTTTTATTCAGTTCCCCTCATCCCCCCCACCTCTGAGATCTACCAGTCTGTTCCACGTATCCATGTCTCTGGTTCTATTTTGTTCATCAGTTTATTTTGCTCATTAGATTCCACATATAAATGAGGTTATATGGTATTTGTCTTTCTCTGACCTGGCTTACTTCGCTTAGCATAATAATCTCCAGGTCCATCCATGCTGTCCCAAAAAGCAAAAGTTCATTCTTCTTTACAGCCACATAGTATTCCATGTACTACAACTTTTTTATCCACTCATCTACTGATGGGCACTTGCACTGTTTCCATATCTTGGCTATTTTAAGTAACACTGCTAGGAATGTAGGAGTGCATATATTCTTTCTGATTGGTGTTTCCAGATTCTTAGGGTATATTCCCAGAAGTGGGATCCCTGGATCAAAAGACAGTTCCAATTTTAATTTTCTGAGGAAACTCCATACTGTTTTACACAGTGGCTGCACCCATCTGCATTCCCAAAAATGGTGCACTAGGGTTCCCTTTTTTCCACATCTTCCCTAGCACTTGTTTGTTTATTTATTGATGGTGGCCATTCTAGCAGGTATGAGGTGATATTTCATTGTAGTTTTAATTCGCATCTCTCTTATGATTAGTGATGTTGAGCATTTTTTTCACGTCTATTGGCCATCTGGATGTCCTCTTTTGGAGTGTCTATTCAAGTCTTTTGACCATTTTTAATCCGACTGTTTGCTTTCCTGGTGTTGAATCAGTACTTTATATATTTTGGAAATAAATCCCTTATCAAATATATCATTGGCAAATGTTCTCTCATGCAGTGAATTCTCCTTTCATTTTGTTGATAGTTTCTTTTGCTCTTCAGAAGCTTTTCAGTTTGATGTCCCATTTGTTTATTTTTTTCCCTTTGTTTCCCTTGCCCTAGGAGTTGTATCTGCAAAAATATTGCTATGCAAGACATCTGAGATTTCACTGCCTATGTTTTCTTATCGGATTTTTGTGGTTTTCTGACTTAAAAGTCTTTTATCCATCTTGAGTTTATTCTTGTGTGTGGAAGGAATTTATTGTGCTCTATGTTAGGCAGGAACAATAGCAAACCAAGAGAGGGGGAGGGAGACTTCTCACTCATTTATTTAGCAGTCCTGAGCTTGGTCAGATAAGATTGCCAGGTGTTCCAAAAGTCACCAAAAAGACCAAAAAGCAAAAACAAACAAACAAAACATCAGAGCTCAGGAGGAGGGAAGACCTTGAAATTCTCTATGTATTGTTTTCACTATCTGGAGAAGAAAGCCTTTGAAACTGTGTATTAACCCCAAAGTCTGGAGAGGGGAGGAGGTGGAAACTAGAGGCTGGCTACAAGCATAAAACCCCTAAAATTTCAATAGTTGGGTACTCGGACTAGCTGGGTGCCCGCTTGCAGTTTCGTGCTCAAGTGTATTTCATAAACTTGCTATCCCATTTCTACTGTAAGTGTTGTCTCTCCCCTGAATTCATCTCTTGCACATGAGCATGCCTCAGCAGTAAGTCATTTCATTTTTTTACACGTACCTATTCAACTGCTCAACACCATTTATTAAAGAGACTATTTTTACTCCATTGTATGATGTTGTCTCCTTTGTCAAATATTAACAACTCATAAAGGCGTGGGTTGATCTCTGGTCTCTCTGTTTTGTTCCATTGATCTATATAGCGGTTCCTGAGCCAGGACCAGCTTGCTTTGGCTTCAATGGCTTTGTGTATTCCTGGGATTTGCTCCAATGGGCCCAATCACCAATTCCTGCGTTCTCACTGAATCCTAAAGACTAGTGGGCCGCGGTCCCGACAGAGGAGTAAGCGGGCAGTGCACCGTGACGCAGGAGAATCGTAAATGCCAGATAAATAACCCTCAGTCTGTTTACCCCAGTGACCTTGGACTACGGGAACAGGTCACCAGGCCGGGACTATATAAACCGCGACTGCCCAAAACCGACGAAACTCGACGGCGACCTAAGAGCAACGCCTCAGCTGCCAGCCCTCTCTTCTACCCGGCGCCGCAACTCCGCGCCCCGCCCCACGTGAGACTGAGCCCCACCCCAGAGCACCGCCCGCTTTCGCCGCCATTCGTCGCGTGACTCAGCGAGGCTGCGCGGCGTTAAGCGCCCGCCTTCGACACTTCCGACACCGCCTTTGATTCAGGTTCCGGGGCGCCGCAGAGCTCCCGGCCCGGGGTTCCCCGCGCGGCGCTATCCCGCTCCCGGGGCCGCGCGTCCTGTGGAGGTCGGGATGCAGGATTCTGGAGAGGCAGTGACTACGGCCGGGGAGGCCGAACTGAACTTGTCCCGCCTTAGCGTGTCCCCCGAGACGCTGGAGTCGGAGCTGGAATCACGGGGCGAGGAGCGGCGCGGCGCGCGGGAGGCGCTGCTGCGGCTGTTGCTTCCGCACAACCGTCTGGTGTCGCTGCCGCGGGCTCTGGGCAGGGGTTTCTCGCATCTTCAGCTACTGGACGTGAGCGGCAACGCATTGACCGCGCTAGGGCCGGAGCTGCTCGCGTTGCGCGGCCTACGCACGCTGCTCGCCAAAAACAACCGGCTGGGAGGTCCCGGCGCGTTTCCCAAGGGTCTGGCCCAGTCGCCTCTCTCTCGCAGCCTTCAAGTGCTCAACCTCAGCGGGAACTGCTTCCAAGTGGTGCCCCCCTCGGTGCTGGAGCTGCGCGCGCTGCAGACCCTTAGCCTGGGCGGCAACCAGCTGCAGACGATCCCGGCTGAGATCGGGAACTTGCAGAGGTGAGCGGGTCCCCGCCTGAGAGGAGGGAGCCCCTGGGCACCGGGCCTGGCTTTGGCACTGTTTAGTTGTCACGTAATTGTCTCCTTCCAGGCTCTCCCTTTAACTTTTTGGCATTGAGTACTACGCGGGCGGCTCAGCGAATCTAATAAGAGAGTGTGTGTGACAGCGTTTGGTATTTTGTGGTTCCTCTATACAAATTTTTGAGGCAATTTTTCTGGGTCCAAGGGAATTATACTAACTGATGGCTCCTTAAACAAATGTAAATCTGAGGTTGTCACTTTTTTGCTCCGAAGTTTGGTGGTTTTCCACACCTATATAGATTAGTGATTTTCAACCTTTTTCATCTCATGCACACATAAACTAATTACTAAGAATCTGCGGCACACCAAAATATATATATATTTTATTAGATGGCTATTGTTGTGCTGGCTGTTGTCATTATTTTTTTTTTTTAATTTGACAGTCCCATTGTCCACCCTTTTGGCGTCTTTGGGCTGCACTAGAAAGAGAATTGTCTCGGACCACGCATTAAATACACAAACACTAAAGAACTGAGGAGAAAAAAAAGGTTTTTAAGTAAATTTATGATTTTGTGTTAGGCTGCATTCAGAGCCATCCTTGGCTGCAGGTTGGACACCCCTGAAAGGGAAAAGAGGTTGGACAGCCGTGAAAGGGAAGAGAGGTCAGTGCCCGTGACTAGTCAGCTACTGCATGTTTTAAAAACTTGCTGCACACCAGTTGAAAGTCACTATTCAAAATTCATGCGTTTTAGTAAGACATACAAGGTACTCTGATCTGAACCTTGCTTTCTACCACATTTACTGCTCCCTGTTGTAGCAGTACCAGCAATACCTCAGTCCCCTGGGGATGGGGCCTACGTTTTCAGACTCCTATCCCATACTCCAGACCTCAGATTATACCTAAGTTTATATACAGTCTGTATTTTTCTATATGTATATACTTGTGATAGATATTAATTTGTAAGTAACAACAATAGCAGTAAAATAGAACAGTTAACAACAATATACCTGTAATAAATGTTATGTGCATATAATCTTCATCATGTGTCCCACCCACAGATTTAATGACTTTTCATATTAACTAAGGACAGGCACTGTGGCCACAACATTTTGAGATGTGACAGCAAAACCAGAACAAATTTCTTTTCCCTTCACAATTTCAGAGAGAAGATTCATCCTTACCTTAGATATTAGCAATCTTAGCATATGATTTTTTTTTCTTTTCTCTTTAAGTAGAGAGTTTTCACTTAGAGGAGCAATTTACAGCTTCTCGTTGGCATATCCGAATTGCCAGCATCACTACTCTTGCACTTTAGGGCCATTGTTAAGTACAATAAATGTTACTTGAACATAATAAGCATTGTGATACTATGACAGTTGATCTAATAACCGGAATGGCCACTAGGATTTCATCACACTACTCAGAAGGGTGCATCATTTAAAACATATGAATTGTTTATTTTTGGAATTTTCCATTTCATATTTTTAGACCACAGTTGACTGCAGGTAACCGAAAATGGGGAAGACAAAATTCAGTAAGCCATTGAATTTTACCAGTACCTATGGGCACTCACTACACATGTGTTTATTGGATACAATGCCTCTGTACACATCCTTTTCCTTTTGCCTGGAATGCTGCCTCTACCTGGCAAATTCTTATTTATCCTTAAAAACACATCTTGAGGGTGATATGTTTTCTTTCTTTACTGCTTCCTGGCCAGCACTTAATTTATTACCTGTACTGTACTTCCTCATCTTACCATTGCATTTATCATATTAATTATAATTCCTTGTTTACAGGTCTGTCTCACCTACCAGATTACTTGGTTAATATATGTTGAATTAAATGGAAGGAAGAAGCAGAGACACAGGTAGCAAAAGTCCCCTAAATGTCCTGTGCAGGAGAATGAGAAATAGAGCAAGAGCAAGTGTATTGTCCAAAGTGAAAAAAAAAAATATGTCATCCGTAAAATTTAATTTTCACAGCCTTTATTGAATTTTTCTGAGATAATAATGTTAGAGCTGGGAGGGACCTCAGTTAATTACTACAGTGGTCCCCAACCTTTTTGGCACCAGGGACCAGTTTTTCCATGGACAGGAGGCAGCGCTCAGGCAGCCTTCACTGGTGATTTGGTTCCTAATGGCCACAGTCCCCTACAGGTCCACGGCCTGGTTGGGGACACAATTAGAGTGAAAAGAACATTGGCCTGAGAATAAGAATTCTTGGTGTCCCAGTCTTAGGCAAGTCACTTAACATGTCCTGACTGCAGCCTCCTAAGCTGCAAAATGGGGCATTCAGAGAGGTCTCTTCATTTACTCAATTCATCAACAGATATTTGTGTAATACCTACCACGTGTCAGGTGCTGGGGATACAATGGTGAACATGATCCTGCTCTCCTGGAGCTAACACAGTATGAGAGACACTAAACCTCAGTTAATTACAGTTATTGTAAGGTCTATGAAGACATACAGAGTGCCTTGAAATGACAGAGGGACCTGCCTTAGTTTGGTTCTTGAGCAAGTAATGTTTGAATTGAGCTTTTATAAGAATTAACTAGGAAAGGGTGGGGTGGCATTAGACCAAGTAGAAGGAATGGCACAGGTGAAAGCCCAGAGGAAAGAAGGACTGGGGGCCAAAATTTTGAAGGGAGGACATTGTAATAGAACATAGTGAGAAAGTGGCCAAGAGTGAAAGCGGCAAATATATTTGGACTAGATCTCAGGCCATGTCAGATCTTGAAGGCCCTAGTAAAGTTTCACTTTTATGTTAAGTACACAGGGAGTTTTTAAACATCTCTTGTTGCTATGTAAGTAGAGTGGAGAGAAGAGGGAGAGATGAGATTTTGAGGGCTGGCTAGAAGGAGTCTACTCTAGTAGAATTAGAGATGATGGTAGCTTATACCAGGGTGATGCTAGGAGAGATAAATAGAAAAGGTTAAGAGAAATTTAAATGTAAAATTGACAAGCCTTGGTTCCTTCTGATTTTGGTGTTACATAATTTTAACCTCTTTTAAATTTTCTCAATATACTAAGAAATAACCAGAGCAGCTATTATTTTCATCATGTAAGGAAAAGGGTAGGAGAAATCCCATTTATTGCATAGTTAGAATGATGTAGACCTGGTTATAGGTGCTTTAAATATGCTTTTTGATTCTCACCATGATTCTTGAGATGAGCAGAAACTGAAGCTCTGAGAGTTTAAGTCATGAAATTACAAAGCCAGTGAGTGGTGGAATTGGATTCAAGCTCTGGGGTCTCTTGACTCCAAACCCATGAATTTTCCACAGTGACACAGTAGGGCTAGAACCTAATTCTGATTTATGTTGCATATATGACCAGGAGGGTTGGTCAAAGCCACTACGTGGTCGCCTTGATTTTCTGGGCTAATAACTGGTTTTTTTTTTATGCCTTTGATTCCAATTGTGTGTGGTATCTTTTATGTTGTTTTTTAGTTTTGTGCTCCATTTCTCTTTACTGATAAGAGTCATAAGGTTTTAGGCCATGCTCCAAATACAAACTCGTTGAGTGTAGGCTAATAGGGTCATGTAGTAGAAATAGAAACAGCCTAAGCAATGGCCTGCTTTACCCTCTTCTTTTTACAGATGAGGAAACTGAGATATAGTTACTCTTAACTTGCTTGAGGCCAGATAGTGACAGTGAGATTTATGTGATTCAGTCCTCAAAAGCTGCTTACTCTGCACTAAAACAATGCATTAAAGTTTCAGAAATGGAGAGACAGAGATCAGTCACTTAAACCCTCAGGTAGCTTCCCAGTAACACCATCTTCTCTTAGAATGGACTCCCTAGACCTTACAGGTAACCCTGATGTATATTGTTTACTGTGCCATGTTGCTTTATAAACTATATCGGTTGCTTTTGGATGTTAGGAAAATACCTACCCTCTTTAAGAGCAATTTTAAAAATATTGCAAAGTATATAATCCATGTAAAGATTTCCTTTCTCCCCAGTCTTCATTCAGGAAGGGATAACACATATGCACAATTGGCTCAATTGGTGTAATTAACCTCTTCAGATTAGCAGTTTTCCTGTATGTTTTCTGTACTTTGTTAATCCTTTTCCCTAGTGGCAAATCTTTTTTTTTTTTTGTAAAGTCGTTTCTGAAAGATCAATTATAAAGTATCATGAATAAGTAGGTGCTGAAAATATTATTTTTATGATTAACTTCATTCCCTTGGAGTAAATTAGGCTCAGTATGAACCATGAGGTTGTAGATGTAGTTACTTACCATCAAAGTAGGATGCTATTCATCAACAAGTAGGTGTAATATCTGTTTGGCTAATATATGGAGAAACTGACTTTTTTTCCTAATGTTGAAAAAGTAGGTGTAATTAGTATTTTGACCTGATCTTATGACCTCTTAACTTACTCTTCTCAATTAACCCAGGCTCTTAATAACTTATCACCCAATGGTTATATTTATTTATTTATTTATTTATTTTTATTTATTTTTTTAATGAAAGCTTCAGGACTGTTTGGCAGCCAGGATTCTAGACAATTTGGAGGTTAAGTTTGAGCATAAGTGAGTTCCATTTGGTACTGTTTCTCACAATATTTTCTGCTCAAGTAAAGCCTGCCTTTTTTTCTGTTCATGACCTTCTCTTACTGTGTGCTTGATGTGGTTTTAAAAATTGAAGGGAAGAGGGCTGTGACAAAAACAAAAGCTAAATATTCATGCTCTGGGATGTTTGAAGCTAGTGTGCAGGAAACAAATTGATATCTTATGAAAGAAGTGATTGGATCAGATGATAAATAGAATGTGGTAAAGTTTAAATAAAAACTTTGTCCCATTTAGAGTCACATACTGAGTTTTTTGCTGGCTCTCGACTTCTGCCCTCTGACTTCTTGCCTTAGTTTGGGGCTAACATCGAGAGATGATTCCTCTGTCTATGCTTCTACTTTTGAACATAAGTGTTCTTTAAAGCCTGTCATGAGTGATAGTGTTTGAAAGTGATTCAATATGGGGATGCTATCTCAAGAAAATTACTCTTTATCCACAAATATATGGTTCTTGTCTATGTTTCTCATTGTTTTCTGCCTCTTTGTGTACAAACATGTCTCATTTTAATTTTATCTCCCTTTAAATAACCGTATATTTCTGTTATATTTGTCATTTTTATTTGGATGGAGAGGCAAAACATTTTCTACTCAGTATATCTGTCATAAAAGTTGATTGGCACTAAGGGACCCTTAGTGTATTTTTTTCAGTGGGTCATTGTCCTTTGCTAGAGAAAAGCCACCCACTTCATTATCCCTAAGGAGTCAGAGAAGTGGAATTCTTTTCAGGAAACAAATCTTAAGACTGGTCTGTTAATGATAAACAGGAAAAGAAGAATTCTATAAATTTTGTTAGTGATTTTTCTGTTTTCTGTATTTGTCACACTGAAAGAATAGAATTGTTCCAAGCCTGATTGGCAGAGATACAATGCTGACAAACACAAGAACTTTTAAATACTACAGTTTTGCTTTAAATTCAACAGTTTCCTTTCTTCCTACAGAAAAGCATGTTTGGAAACACTAGAGTATACTTTAGAAATTTAATTTCCACAAATCATTTAAAGGCTTTAAGTTCCTAGAACTTTGGGAATTACTTGAGCTTCAAAGTAAGAAGTAAGCTTGAAGGTATAAATTTAATATGCCAGTTGTATAATCTGATTAATGATACTCTTCAGTTGCGAAAGAGAATTGATAAAATTTTTAAACTACAGGCTTGATTATATTTTAGAACATCAGATCCTTCTCTGCCAAGTCACAGTAACTGCTGAGGCTTGGCATCCTTTGTCTATATTCCTCCCCACTCCAAAGTATTGAAAGAAAGACATTGAGTAGTAACTGACCACCAGATACTAATTTCTGTAGGTTTCTGACTTAAACAAATGGAAAATACAGTATTTAAATTTGTTCTTAGACTCACTCTCCCCTTTCTTTCTCTTTCAGTAAACTAATGCAAATTGTTATGTAACTATTAAATCCTGTATAAAAGGACTTCCAAGTTTGCTAATATTTTTTCTCAAATAGTCTCCTCATTAATTCTTTTTTCAAGATAGGTTCTGTTTTGGGGGCTAGCAGTGTTCTGTTCTATTCTAGTAGCTCTCATCATTGAAAAATAGAGATTAATGAATAACAGCATTCACTTACACCATTTTTGTTAGGATCAAAATCCTCCCTAAGAAGTTTGTTTGTTTGTTTTACCACTGTTTAAACAATTACATGCAGGAGAATTCAGTCTTGTATACAATTTATTATTTTTAATCCTCACCTGAGAATATATTTTTTTTATTGATTTTAGAGAGAGGAAGGGAGAGAAAGAGAAAAAGAGAGGGTGTGAGAGAGAAACATTGACTGTCCCTCCTATACACACCCCAACTGGGGATTGGGCCCTCAACCTAGGTATATGCTCTGAGGGGGAACTGAACCTACAGCCTTTCGGTGCACAGGATGACACTCCAGACAACTGAGCCACCTGGCCGGGGCCAGACAATTGGGTTTTTTGTACAAGGCAGTAGTCGAAAGACAAGAAAATAACATTGGAGTTAAAGTCTGCTTTTACTAAGCCTTATAAATCTAAAAGATGAACAAAATCAGATATAGAAAAGTATCAGTATATTTTTTAAATGACGAAACTTCAAATTCAGTTTTACTTTTTGAATCACCATACATCAAGGAAGGCAAGATTATAAAGTATAGATAAGAAATTCAACAAAGAGAAGAAATTATACCCAGAAAATCCATATAATAAGGCAATCTATAAAGGACTTTTAAAATAAGTATGTTTCCTAACTTGAGATAGGTAAAGGAGGGTATTTCATCAATGAAACAAGAATTAAGTTCAAAAATTGACAATTATGAAAACCCCAATTAGAACTCCTAAAAATGAAAAAATGTACTTATGACCTCATTAGGCTAAATGATAGATCATAGCACAAAAAGATAAAGAAGTGGGAAGTATGAAAAATGTTGAGAGATAATGGAGAATTGATTCAGAAGTTCCACTGCTGTTTACTAGGAATTCTAGAAAGAGACTAGAGAGCAGGTAGAAAACGCAATGTTTGAAATAACAGCTGAGATTGTTCCACAATTAAAAGTGCTTTAAACTGATATCTTGACAAATGATAAAACTTCAGAACAATAAGGTTAAATAAAGAAAATAGATCCTAAAAGCTCCTAATAATAATGATAAACAGATTACCTACAAAGGAGCAATAGTTATACTGGCTGAGATGAGATAATGGATCAGTATCTTACTAGTGCTAAGGAAAAATAAAGGCCAGCCTAGAATTTAATGCCCAGCCAAAGTATCACTCAAGATTGGAGCAGGGGGAGTAAAAATACCAGAGATGAAGAACTCAGATTAATAACCATGGTGGGTCCTTGCTGAAAGAATTTCTGAGGATGTTACTTGAGTTACACTCTGGAACAGCAGTTTTCAACCTTTTTTAACTCATGGCACACACAAACTAATTTAAAATTCTGGAACACACTAAAAAATACATTTTTTATCAATCTGATTAAAAAAATGGGTATAATTTTGATTCATTCACGCCAGATGGCTATTGTTTTGTTGGCTGTTGTCATTTTTTTATTTAACAATCTAAGCAAAAAGAGGTCAGTGCTCTAGAAGGCTTACTTGGCTTTTATGTGGAAAATAGCTGCCGAAGTGAGAGAAGAACATGATGGGAAGAGTACAAGCAGGAAGACCAGACTGGAGCCTAATGTAGTAGTCTAGATGTGAAATGGTAGATACTTGCTTGGTACATCTTTTTCTATCTCACTACTTTTAATGTATTGGGGTATTTCTATTTTAAGTGTAACTCTTTGTAAAGAGCGCACCCAACTTCATAAAATTCAAAATCCTTACTAAGGTCTGAAGGAGCCTCTGAACTGGCCTTCCTAGGCTACCTCTCTGACCTGTGTTACTAGCACTGTCAGTCTCTGTCTCCCTGATCTACGCACACTGGCTGTGTTGCTCTTTTACAGCACGAGCATTTTTCAACCTCATATTTGTACTCATTTCATTCAGATCTCCATGCAGATGTCATCACCTATAGGAAATCTTTTATAACTACCCTGTTTAGAATATGACTTTCATCACTACCTAATGACCTTTTTCTTTATAGCGCTTAAAGCTAGAATATAAAAGCAAAATATATTCAAAATCATTGATTTATTGTGTGTCTCCGTCTTGAATATAAGCTGCGTAAGGTCAGGTACTCAGTCTTCCATGATATTTCTTAGAATGGTGTGTGGTAGATGTCCAGTTCATATTTGTTGGATAGGCACTTTACATAATATATAATAATCCATTTTAAAGAAGAGGAAACTGGAGCATAACAAGATTAAGTACTTGGACCAAATTCTTAAACTGGTGAGTGGTAGAGCTGGGGTTAAATGAAATAAATACTAACAAAAATAAAATCAGTAGGCAATATTGATAATATTGTCTTAATATTGGTGTGTCTTCTCTGCTTACCTGTAATACAAGCTCCCTGAAGATTGCATTATTTCTCTAGAGACTGTATAGCACAAAGCAAATCCTAAATAAAATATTAGCTGAATGAATAGATGAATGTGTTTGTTGTAATAAAGACAGTAGGGTATCTTCTTTAGCTTTGGTTTGTTTACTTTTTGTTTTTTGTTTTTTTGTGGGTTTTATTTGTTTGTTTGTTTTTTGCAGTTTAGAGTGTTTATATCTTGGAGGAAACTTCATCAAAGAAATCCCACCAGAATTAGCAAATCTGCCTTCTCTGAATTACTTGGTATTATGTGACAACAAAATCCAAAGTGTGCCTCCTCAACTTTCACAGTGAGTAGTTTCAGGCAGTTTATGTATACATAGAGATGCATGCTTAGGAATTACTATTTTGCATTCACCAACATGTTTTATATGTAGAAAAAATTAGATGTTCTCAAGGTAAATGATACATGAGAATCCGAGTCCTGAGGTTTACCTTGAATGGGTTTGCTTGTTTTTAAAATGGTCTGCTGCTTTTAAATGGTCTGGTTTATTCCTCACAATATTTGTTTAGCCTGTTTTCAATAATCAAAAACAGAATATTCATTTGGCAGAGATTTCCCAGGTTTTATGGGAGTTTGTTGATTTTATATTTGATATGAAGCATTCCTAGCCTAATGAGATAATGTGAAGGATCTTGACTCCTGTTGCACTTAGAATTTTTCCTTTTTTGCTTATCTGAGAAAATATCCCTCCCTCCAAAATCCTTAAGTCTAGCAATTTATAGTTCATGACATCAGAATACTCTTGAGTGTTCTAAACTCTAAAATTCCATGGGCAAAAGCCATTCATGACGTTTACAAATCTGCACTGTGGTCTGATTTCAGCACTTTTTAGTTTTACTTGCATTGACCTTAATTGCTCATTCTTATGGGGAAGTCAAGTTCTTCGCTTACCTTTGTTGGTAGTAATCTTGCTTTAATGCTGTTGGTTTTTGTATGGCATTCATTCTAGGTTGCATTCACTTCGTTCCCTCAGTCTTCACAATAACTTGCTGACGTACCTGCCTCGAGAGATCCTCAATCTTACTCATTTAGAAGAATTGAGTTTGCGAGGAAATCCCTTGGTTGTTCGTTTTGTTAGAGATTTAACCTATGACCCTCCAACTCTCCTGGAATTAGCTGCACGGACCATTAAAATTCGAAATATTTCCTACACTCCCTGTGATCTTCCCGGGAATCTTCTTAGATACTTGAGTTTAGCCAGCAATTGCCCAAACCCAAAGTGTGGAGGTAAGTTTATTTAGTGGCCTTGTTTCCCATTCATTTGGCTATTATTAAAGTTGATGGTCTAAGTGTTGTTTTTATTAGCTGTCTTCTTTCAGTGAAAGGCAGTTGGTCTCTATTTCTGTTTCCCTCATCCTTTCACCAGAAACTGAGACATTTTACCCTTTCTGGATTTCTTTTTTCCTTTTCATAGTACTTTACAGTTCATACACAAGGAAAACACCAGAAAGTTTCCTCCTGTCTTGGAACTGTCATAAAATTTGTAAAATGAGAGAAAACACAAAAGAGCCATAACAATTCTAATTGCTTAAAAAGAATCTCTAAAATGTTTGGCTATCTTTCATATTTTTTTGAGGGACATGTTTTTATTTTTTATTTATTTATTTTTTTTAAAAAAAATAAGCAATTATTTTAATAAAGTGAGGAAAATATTGGACTAATAAACAAGCCATATCAAAAAAATGGGCAAAGGAACAAAAGACTATTTAATGCAAATGAACAATTCAAATCTAAAATTTAAATACTGCTAAGAAACAATGAAAGGATACACAATCTTTTTTGCAGTCATGGAATGGCAAATTAAAATAGTAATATCAAGTGATGGTGAAGAAATGAAGAAGTGAACACTCACTCTTAGGTGTACAGCAGTATAATTGATATATATTACTTAGGAAGTAATTTGATAATACTTGTTATAACAAAATATTTTAACATTGGCAATCTAGTCTATGAAAATAAAAGCATGAGAGTGTCAAGATGTATTGGGTTGGCCACAAAGTCCATTGGAGGGACATGTTTTTAGAGTCACCATTCTTAACATCAGGTACCTTTAAAGAATATAATTCAAGATATATGAGAATGGACAGAATGTGTGCCAGTTTCACCATGTACCCTGGAATTTTATATTCTTTTAAATCCATGGTTCAAAATTTCTTCAATTTAGAGTATTTGGAGAGAATTAAACAAAATGAAGTAGGAAGTCAGTGTACTATTGGAAGTCAAAGGAGGGAGAGAGTACAGTTAATTAGATCTGGAAAAGAGAGATGATTCTTGAAGTATGAGTTGGATTTTGATAGGGTAAGATTGAGAATAAGGAACTTTTCAGATGGAAGGAATATAATTGGAGACAGAAGAGTATGGGGCAGAATGTTGCATGAGTAATAATTAGGCTCAAATATACAGTTAGGGGAATAATAAAAGATTTTATAACAGATCATTGAGACCAGGTTATGAGGGGCCTGCAGTGCCCGTAGTTATGGGTGGGAGTTGGTGGTGATAGCAGGTATTTTATTTCGGCTCCCTTGTAAAAGACTGCTTCTAAAAAATATCCAGTTTGGGGGGGGTACAGCAAGGTTTTTACTGTTAGATAAAAATGTAGGAGCTGAGGAGATGTTGCATAATGATCAGAGATTTTTCTGGAAGTTCCATCATGTGTTGAAATCGTTATAAGGTTTAGAAAGGAGAAAATGGTTTAAGTTCCTCAAAAAATGTCAAAAGAGAAAAAAGACACTGTTGGTTTAAACAAGACAATACTCTGGGCCTTTCTAGTCACTAACTCTTAGAAGTAGAGGTTGCTGTGCTGTGCTAAATCAGAAGTGCTTACGCTTCTGTCTGGAGCTCTTTCCTAAATTGGCTTTAACAGTGGCAAGGGACAAGATCCACACCTGGCCTTCAGGCTTGAGAGTCTGTTTCTCATCTCTTTAAATGTATCTTTTTCTGGAAATGGACCTCTACAAGAATTCCCTTTTCTCTCTTAGCTGTTTCTGAGTTACTTCTTCAGTATACTTATGTGCTATATTTCTTAGCAACAAAAATACATTTAAAATTAAAAGTTTAAAATTTGAGATAATATATAAAATGAACCATTGACTCCGCCCCCCCGATTCATTAGTTATTGAACTCTGAACAAAAGATTTTACATTTTGTGAGATGTTTTCTTGTATAGTCTGAGATCTGACAAATGACAAGATAATACTGTACTATTTTAGCTCATAGTAACACTGTAATACTGTAACATTGTGTTATTTCTACCTGTTTTCAGGTAGTCAACACATTTTGACGGGTGTCATAAAAATACTAATTGACCAGTTTATTGACTTTATCTACTTTCCTAAATTGTTCAAAGTAATGTACCTTGAATTCCTTTTTTAAATTATGGGTTATACTTACTATAGGGTCAAAAAATTAAAAAGTTAATGAGGGAGTATTGGGGAAAAAATAAGTAAAAATTAGTATTTCTCCTCTGTTTGGACCACATCTTTTTATTTTGGTCCTTTATGGAACACACACAGAGTAGTTGGGTGCCAAAGGAAACTTAGGTAAGGTAGGGAGGTTGAGATTCCTCCCTAAAGAGGTGACAGGGCCCAGAGTTCTAGGTATTCCAGTTATACCACAGTCATTGTGACAGCCTGGTTAGAGATGTGCAGTTTCCTTAAGGAGCAGCTAGAACCCTAAGATGTAGCAATCTCTGCTTTCCTTTCAGCTCTAACCGTATTTTTACTCAGCTGTAGGGCCACAGTTCAGAAGGACCATAGAATCAAAATGAGGGATGAAAAGATGTGAATACTAGTTTGAGTCTACCTAACAATATATAATTGTGTGAAAATCATATGAGACCATTAGTGAAACAGCTTTGAAGCCTGTAGATTTAGAACCTGTGGAGATGTAATAGATAGCATTTTGTTTCTTTTCATTTTGCTTTTCAGTACGTAAGAACAGGAACTAAAAATTGTCTCCTTTCTGCAAATTTTGAAGGTCTGTGAGCTTTTTAAAATCTCTTAACTATAGAATAATACCAAGGAGTCACTTGACTGATGAAGGAAGGGCACTTGAGGTATCCTATAATCTTTGTCAGGCAGTATCCACTAAATCACCCAGAGAAAACAAATTAAATAAAGTGTCCTTTTAATACCAGTTTCCTTTCAGAGAAATCTCTTGGCCTTCTCTTTACAGCCAAATTGCCATCCCTAAAACCTTCTGGTGTTTTTATAAACAGCTGTAGAAACATCTACTGATTCTGCTTAAGATTCACAAAAGAGAAGACTATACACGACATTTTTTCAGACTAGTGGAGAAATGGTTGAAAAAGAAACTGTGAGTCTTTGCTTTGTAATGATTACCTTATACTTATTTCTCTTTCGCTCCAGGAGTCTACTTTGACTGCTGTGTCAGACAAATAAAATTTGTGGACTTCTGTGGAAAGTACCGCCTTCCCCTGATGCACTATTTGTGTTCGCCGGAATGCTCTTCCCCTTGCAGCTCCACCTCTCACAGCTCCACTTCCCAAAGCGACTCTGACTCGGAGGATGAAGCTAGTGTTGCTGCACACAGAATGCAGAAAGTTCTTCTCGGTTGAAAGGCGTGTGGGGTCGTATGAAACACTGAAAGACTGAGAGAAGGTAGTTAGAAAAGGAAATAGACTTTGAAGTTAAACATTATCTTCATTTTGAATGTTCATGAAAGAATCAGAGATGATGTAAAAGACTATGATTTATCTACCCACAGCAGGAATGAGTCCAGTTCCATCTTAGGATTCTTTGAATATAATTCAACTCTGAAGGCAGTTTCAAATGTGGCTGTTTGCAACTTTCACTCATAGCAGACTAGAACATTCTGAAGAGCAGTGCTGTGATAAACCACGAGTGGTGTAACTTGTGACAGTTGAGATGAAGAAATGTTTGAAGCTGTGATTGCTACCAAAATTGTCCTTGGGTATAGGTTGAACACTGTACAGTAATAGGATTAACCCTCCTTTCTTGTATTGCTCATACATCTAGATTACAGAGCTATTCAGATAAGCTCACAGATGGTTACAATAGACCTAAACCTTTCTGACCTACTAACTGGTAATGTAGGGGATACAACTTTATGTGTGATTTTAAAACTGTTCCGTTCTGCTCCTTTATTTTATGTAATTGTTATTACCCATAGGTAATCCAGCAGTGACTGTTACAGTGCCTTAAGACCTAGCTACTAGGATTTAGAAGTTTTTTCAAGACATGATGTCAAAGCAGCCTACAAATACTAGGCAGAATACTTTGAAATGTGCTTTAACAGAACTAGGTAAACAGCTATATATTTGACATCTGAGGCCATGGCCACCTTCACTTCATTTTTTGCTTAAACATGAAGTAATCGCCTAACAAATCACTTTTACACTTAATGGGAGACCATAGTCCTTATCATCTATTGATCATAAGAGAATAATAGTTTTTGATTGAAAAAGCAGTCAGATTTCTTTTCATAGGAAAGAGATGTAAGCTAGGAAAGCTGCTTTATGTCTTTCATTAAAGAAGTGGGAAAATGACTTAAACATTTTAACAGTCAGATATGACTCCATTGCCTATGTGTACTGAACTGTAACTTTCTCTACATTTTAAAGAAACACTAGAAAAACATTACAACAAACCAAATAAAATTTGGGGCAGCGGTCATTGTGTTTGTATACAATAGAATAATTTTTAAAACCAATTTAATGGAATATTTTTTGAAAATAATATTGACAAAAAATTATTAAATAACCCTTAAAATATAGCAGAAAAATGTTTTCACAGATTCCTTGCTACTAGAAATTACCAAATTTTTATCAGTTTAATATGCAATAAAAATTGAATAATGGTCTAATTACAAGTAGATATTATACACAGCACATAGTAGCAATCCTTAGATCATAACCTATAATAACATGATGGTCTGTTAGTACGTGTTATCTGTACAGCAGTAAGTAGATCAGAGGTGCATTAGAACAGGAAATGATCTCCCTTCTGACTTGCTGGCATTCATGAATGGGCGCATCATTTCTCAAAAGCAAATTGTTTTTCAGTAATACGTACATGTATTAGGTTTATGTCATTTTTTTTATCTTAAAATATACTGTAGGATAGTTCAGAGATTGTTTATTATATATGTTAATTCATGAAACATGGGAGTTTCATGACTGCAGTTGTGAAACGCTGCTATAGGGTAAGTCCCTTCCCCTTGTTAGAATGTAGTAAGATTCTTTTTTCCTTTTCAGAAATCTTCTGTTTCTATAAAAGTAACCTAGTATATTTCTACCGCCTAGCAAAGTAGTACATGGGTGATTATATCTTACAGTAGAGGTAATAAAAAGACTTGTTTTCTTCATTTGTACCATAGCAAGCTATATGCTACAAACTTATGACTGGTAAGTAAAGATGACTTAGGTAGTGCCTAAGAGGAAAGCTCGAAGTGTTTTGTAAGTGACTTCATTTAGATATACAAAATATTTTTATAGAAAATAGATAATGTATTCATAGTAAAATACTCAATAGGAGCAAATTTTTTGGCTTAAATGCCTCAGTTTACTTTCAAATTCATTACCTGCTTAACCTAACAGTTTGGGTAATCTTCTAAGAGTTAGTTTTTGTAATATAAATGGGTAGGTATATAAATAAGGTATTTAACCTTATATACCTCCTCCCAGCTTCCCAGAAAGATGATACGCTGATTGAGCTTTTACAGATGTAAGTAGGTCTAACCAGAAATAGCATCTGGCCTTTGCTATGTAATGTAGATGTATATCATAGTATACAACAAATTATCTTTGAACAAAAAGTTTGCTATGGTTCTCTATATGTACATTTGAAAACCTAAGATCAGTGTTCAGCTGTCTTTGGTTACTCTTATTTAAATCTACAGTATAACTGTTAGTTTTATCTTTTTTTTTTTTTAATCTTTGACAAGAGCTTTTTACCTTTTAACCTTTTACAAGAGCTGCTGATAATTTCTAAGATTTTCCCCAGTCTTCCTTCTCCCACCTTTCCTTTTTTCATAACTGGTGACTGCAGAAATGAAACCAGAAGGTGGAAACCAGATATTTAGCTCCCGAATCATATAGCTGATTATGCATTTTAAATGATAGGTCATATCTCTTTAGTTGTTAAGTCACATATTTGTGCTTAAACTATAGTTCATAAATTTTCTGTATTTTCTGAGATGTATAGAATCTCTACTAATTTTCATAATGAAATAAGGGTTTTTTTAATCTCCACTTGGGCAATTTTAGTGACCAAAACATGTGGATAAAACTGTTAAACTAGAGCATTATGAATTCTTCAGTGCTAATTTTTAAAATTGAAATAGGTTGAATATTCTTAGTATATTTTATTCCTAGAATCCAGTTCTCAGTGTCACCAGACTGAGTCGTGAAATAGTCCTAGGATTTCAGGAAATAGGAAATGAGAAAACAAAATTTTGCTTTTGTGGCACCTAAAAGAATGGCTGACCTAAGGACAAGCTGGTCAGGGATCTCAGTATTCCCTGTATTTTGAGTAGGAGAGATAGGCCCGAGGGTTGCTATTCATATTTTATTCCTCCAGAAGAATCTCTTATTCTAAAGTTCTTGATAATTGGAACTTTAAGTTAGAAAATTTAAAAGAAAACACTTGCATTGTAAATTGTGCCTCAAATTTAATAAACTTTTGTATTGACGTAAATAAAAGGTAGAGGCAGTTCACACTAATGCAGTGTAATCCTGCAGACCAGTTCCACCAAACATTGTAAATAATAGTTTTAAACAAAACAAGAAAAGGAAAAGGCTCATTGCTGGAGTGTGAGATGAAAGAAGTCTTTAAAAGCAGCAAAGGATAGGCAAGTAGAAGTCACCAGGGATATCCCTGAGCAAATAAAGTTCTTTAAAGTAATAGTGAACTGTTTTAAAATTAAGTGGTCTACTCAATACCATCGAAAGCCTTTCTCATTAATTTCTTTAGTTTCTGCTTTTGGGATATTGCCCACATCCCTCCATAATGAAGGGTGATCAAATAGTAAGATTTTCTTAGAACCAACCTTGCTCTTTCCAAAGAGAAAGTAATACCTCATTAACCTGGAATTTGTGGTACAGTCTTGGTTAATGTTTACCTTTTCACTATGTAAAAAAATAACTACTGCAAGTAATTTTTAAAGCGTTTTATATAAAAGTTATTCTAAATACAGGACCATTTGTAGGCAACACTCTTGTATATAAAATTCGTTAGCTGCATTTATTTAGAAATACCTAATTTTTACCTAAAAGAAGCACTTTCTTATTATCCAAAATAGAGATTTTATTATGGCAACATGTATATAACTCCCATTTAGTCCAAAATAGTGAGCTGGGCATTTAACAAGAGTAAAGACTATTGTGTATGTTTTTAGGCAGCATGATCTGCAATACTTAGTTCTGATTTCCTTTGAATAGAAAAGAACTTGACCTTCACAGTCTCTGTATTAAGAACTGTACTTTGTAACAATGTGATGAATTTAATAGTATCCAATTTTGTATTTTCATTATAGTCACGATTTTTTAAAAGGTAGCAGTGTCTTCAGTTGTGTTCAGAAAAGTATGTGCCTTAAATCCTCCGCTCTATACCTGAAGGGGAACTATATCATTTAATAAGTTGTTTGTGACAGTCTTGTCACCCTTTGCATTTGACTTGAGGGAGAAAAACTGTGATTCTGAGGGATTTCTTTCACTGAAATGGGGCCTAAGGTCTCTTGAATCTAGAGCTTCTGGTGAGGGAATCCTAATCGAGCCTACTCTCAGAAGGTCAAAGCCATAAGGGTAAAGTACCCTGAAATAAAATCAGTGAAAAGGTGTGTTCTCTTTAATACTATTTTATAAAGAAAATTTATCCACTTCCACTAAGCGGTGATAGCGGTTCCTAACCAACTTCATATTAATAATATATAAAGATAGTATTGCCATGAGGCCTAGCATATGTTTTGAGTGGCTTCTCTAATACTAGGTTGAGGGCGGGGTATGTTTTAATATTTTTTAATGTAAATATCTGTTCTTTTTCTCTCTCCTTGGTCTATATTTACCAAGAATGATGGAGAGAATAACAGTTCACTAACAACATGCATTACACATTATTGAACATTTACAGGGTAATATTGAGTTGGGTGCTACTAGACTTATCTAGAATTGATCTGTCTCAATTTATCATAAGAGACAATATTCAATTTTGTAAATATTAATATTAAAATGTGTTTAATGAAGGTTTTGTGTTTTTCTTTTAATACCATCATACCAGAAAGCCATGGTTCCTGGAGAGACTCTACATTTACCAGAACTTACTTTGGCTGTGAACAATTTAGATAAAATTGTTTTATACTGAATTCTAGTCAGGGGAAGAAACTAGGGTGAAATTGACTTTACTATTGCTGGTACTACAAAAACATTACTAAATTGGTTAATACTTCTGTCTGCTACTGATGTTTTAAGAATCCTTTCACTAAAATAGTTGACATTGGTAAATTATTGGTAAGGAATATTAAACTCAGCGATCGCTTTACAACAATCATGGAGACCTATGTGCCTGCAATTGGTGTTTGTTGCATTTCTGAACCCACTTTATTCGTGAGAAACAAAAACAATGGGAGGAATATTTTAATAAGTATTTTAACTTTTTATAAAATTTGGGACTTTAAAGTGTTAATAAGATGTTGGAAATATATGTACTTTGGTCAAATTACCTGATTTTTAAATTTTCTGTATTTGAAATCTTGTGAGTTAGAAATACCTATATAGGTATATAGATATTTTAAAACAGAAACAATAAATGTAATTCAGCAACGATTCAATGATTAAATTTTATTTTCAGGGCAAGATACAGTTTATTGCATCAGATTTCTATATTACCTTGTAATGGTAAATATTCTAGAAAGAATATTTAAGACACTTCAATCCTATACATACATTTATTCTCCCAGAACACATGAAAGAATGATCTACATTAACCCTCTGTGTGCATTTTGTCATATCAAACACTGAGCTGTATTAAAGGTGTCTTGTTGGAATTTGATTCTATATTCTGGAAAAGTAATTATATTTTAGTTTTAATTGATAAGCATTTGTTTTAAAAAACTAAAATCCTTATGTCGGTATTTGCCTAATTGCTTGCTATAATCATTGCTCATCTGTTTATTGAATTGTTTCAGTACATGAATACATACATTAAGTATATAGTAACAGTTACTCTCTATGCTAGATGCAAGGGATAAAAGATGAATTAGACCAGATACCTTTCTACTAGAGTTCCTTCTGCTTCCACAGTCTTAACAGATTTACAGATGCATTCTCCAGTAAGAAATTGGTGAGATCATTTTACTAAGGTCAGTTTCTTGCATTTTGTTGTTTCAAATTTGCTGAGTTGGAAAAAGCTCAGCACTTCATGATTAGTATATAGGAAAGCTTCTTAGTGAAGATAGGCTCAGAAATCTGAAGGCACAAGAGAAAAAAAAATTGTGCATAGGTCTGATCTCTTTGCTTTCCTGAGGATAAAATTGTGCCTTAATCTGCCCAGTTGGGGGTGCTCTCTTCAGAACAAGTGTCAAGAAATTTTTTTCCTTAATGGCTTGTCTAATTCTGTAGAATCCAAATAGAAAGCCACACTTTTCAGTGAATATGTGAGACTTGGATATGTCCCATCACATCAATCACTGCTAGCATTAGGAAAAATTCCTTCAGCATTCCCTAGAATATCAGAGCTAGAAGAAACAAAAAAAATCTAAAATTGATTCACTCATTTGTGAGACAAAAAAGTTCAAGACCAGGGAGACTTGTCCAACATTTCATATGACTGAATCTTAAATCTAAGCCTCTGGATTCCCACTTCAGTGCTGTCTCCATGATAGTATGCCCCTTTATACATTTACTACTCTATCTGTGACAAGAAATCAACAGTATTGGCACTGAATTGTAATAGATCAACCAGCATCAAAGTGATGCTGTCTGCACTACATTTCAGTGTGGTCAAAACTTTAGCTCAGTTGGGAAACCTTAGATAAAAGTAAACATCTGGGTACCTCATTACTGTTTACAAAGCACATTCAAAAACCTACCTTACTTAATCCTCATGATACTGAGGTAGGACTAGACTTGGTTGAGTTTGTTGGTGTGGTTTATCGCACCCTTTTCCTCCTCTGAATTTGATATCAATTAAGAAATTGACATAGACTTGAGGAAGGGATCTATATACCAGCTTTATTAAATAATATATATGAATTATATAAAATATATCCTCACCCAAAGACATGCTTATTAATTTTAGAGAGGGGAAGGAATCAAGAGATGGAGAGGAACATCAAATGGCTTACTTCTTGTACACGTCCCAATGGGAGACAAAACCTGGGTATGTCCCCAGACTGGGAATCAAACCCACAACCTTTTAGTTTATGGGATGGTGCTCCAACCAACCGAGCCTCACTGACCAGGGCAAGCGTCTTACGTTCTTAAATTGAATGTACCCAACCAAATCACAGACTCCCCTGTAGGGGCTATCTACCCTTAGATAGCATTCCGTGCGGCTGACCAGAACACACTACAGATCCAATAGAGGCCAGATCAAATCTTAAACCTTGTAGTGCTGCCCAATAGAAAAACCAACAATAACACCAGACAGCCATCTAAGCAAGTGAATTAGTCTTTTACAGGAGAAAAGATGAAAAGTTTATTCTAGGCAGCTAAGTTGTGCATTAGAATCATCATGGGAGCTTTCAAAATATTCATATGCCTGGGCCCCACCCCCAGTCTAATTGAGACCTGATCTCTAGAGGTGAAGTCTGGGCATCAGTAGTTGTAGAAGCTACCCTAGGTGACTCAGTTGCCCAGCAAGGGTGATAATTATTTAGAGAAAGTCTCAGTAGCTAAGTCCGTGGACTAGGACTTTAACAGGTGAAGAAATAGGTCTGAAGTGATGCATGACTTGCCCACGTTCTCTTAGTGACAGAGCTGGAATTAGAATCCATCTATTTTTTAAGAATTAATTTTAGACCAGGCACTGATTGCTAATTAAATGTTCTTTTCATCTCCCTGTCAGTCACTTTTTTTTTCTGAACTGGAAGTGTTTTGAGCATATAAGATATATTCAAGCTGATTGTCCATATTGAAGCCAACTGTAACTAAGAGTATCTGCTAAATTGTGGGAAATGAAAGCATCAAATAGATCAATTTGACCAGAAACATTGACCATGAAAAGATGGCTTGGTCAAATGTTTCAGGCTTATAAGACATGGTTGAGAAAGACCTTATCAAGATGTACATGGGTTCTTTTGACCACAGATAGATAACATGTGGCTAACATCCTAAGCAGCCGCGATGAACAAGCTGACATAACCAAGAAAGATAACAAAAGTAGACATCCGCCTAGGAGAAAACACTGCAGTTAATCCATATACATAGATTTCCATGATAGGAAATGGAAAAGTTCAATACTGCACATAAGTACTATGTATACTTTCTACCCCAGTTTTTTTAAGATCTAGCTATGAGACTTTATGATTATTTTACTGCTTATAACTGAATAATCACTCTTACAACCTCTAAGTATATGGAAGATTTAAATGGAAAAGTAAATTTGTTCATGATGCCATGGAAACTCATGAGAAAGAAAATATTCTTAAATTATTACTATGGATATTTTCTTCATACAAATAAAGACTGGACTTAAAATGTTATTTGGGACTTTTAAAAGCTAAAGATCTTTGAAGTAAGAAACTATGCTAAGTTTCTATGAAGTAATTGGAAATTACGTTACAGCTAGAAAGCTACAATTTTAAAATTTTGTCCTTATTAATTTTAAACTTTGTAACCTTGACAATGACCTAAAAGGCTCTTCCTAACTTTAATAAGAGTCTACAATTATCTGTGCTCAAAACTCTTTTCTGTTTTTGTAACTCCAAAATATCTCTGAGTTCTTGCATCACTCCCCACATCCTTTTTAGCCAACTCTGTTTTGGTGTGTTAATCTTTCCTCCTAAGCCAATGTACATGCAACCAGGGGCAGAGTTAGTGGAGCAGGGAGAACTTTGCCCCTGAATCTGCAATTAAAATTCTATCCATTATATATCACTTCCCAGGGCTTGTTGTCAGGAATGACATGTCAATGGGCAGCTTTGAAACAATCTTTTTTATTTCTGCTGAGGACAGCATCTCATAAAAGAAAGGCATGCGTGATTACTAGATACCTATGACTTTTACTGTAGCATAATTGTAATTAGATTTTTTTTACCCTGGCCTGCTGTAGGAATTTTTCTCTGGTCCTAAGTGATTTCAGAATCAAATATTTAGCAGCAAGAGTGTGAGAAATCATAATACCGCTTTAAGCAAGAGGACAATTCAACCATCAGGTTGAGACCTATCCTGTTTTCAAATATCTCAGAGAAGATTTTTACTTCTTCAGCAATTCTGAAATTTAACAGTTGTCACTGGAGGAACTATTTCTTAAGGTTCTATGATGTGTGCTAGCCAGATTAGATATGGAGGCAACTTTTAAATTATTGACATCAGCACAGGCACAATGACACTAGTAAGACTATTGTGTGTGCACACGCACGTGCACATATGCACTACCTGTTACATGGTGTCTGTTCCTCTGGCTGGCTCCAAAATGTTGCCATGCCCTTCCTGTCCATAGTTTGTCTCTGCCTTTCTCCCAACCCAGAGCTCCTTCCACCATTGTAAAAGTCAATGCATGGGAGTCACACTTCCAGCAGTTTCTACCTTGTGTTTGTGCAGAACCTTTTAGGAAGAGAAAAATGAGAGAAACTAGGGTCACAGCTCTATGCAGTTGAATCATAAATCCAATACTGTAAGAACTGGAATAAAGATGAGAAAAGAGAATACTTGACACTGAAGCTTTCAATCGTAACACCAATAAGCAGGCAGACAAGTATAGATACAGTTGACATATTCAGGAAGAGTAGAGAAGGAAGAGGTGCCCCCGGCCACTGTTGGCTGAGTGTTTCTGTGGGTGCCCCAATGAGGAAGGTTGGTAATTGATACCTGAACAATTGTGCATTTATATATGCATATTATTTGTAAATTTCCACATACATGTATGTATATGGTAAACTTATCCCAAAGAGAAGATCCACTCTTACTTATTTTTGGTTATACTTATGAACTCTTAAGCAACATAATCTCTACAAGGTACTATTAAGGAGAGGAACCTGAATTGGGTTAAATCTTTATTTACATGCAGATAAGCCCACATCCTTATGCAATCCACATATACATATACACATAGATACCCAGTGAAAATATACACATATGCTCACCTAAAGATTGAAGTTTGATCATTAGGCACAGAGAGCAGAATGTACCTGTCACTTTCACCTGAGCACAAGGCCAAGAGAGGAATAAATGAGCAGCTAGGTGACACTGCAGGTAGAGCCAGGCTCCGGGACAGGATGGATTTTTCTTTGAGAAATACAGCACGAAAGCCATCTTAGAGTAAAGGCCAAGTAGTTGATCTGATAAAGCAGGTGTCTCTTCTCAAATCAAGATTTGGAAGGATCTGTTTACCATCAATGAGCCTATTACCCTGACAGTGATTTTTTTCTATATGTGCCTGTTAGCCCAGGAATCCAGCACCTAATTTCTTTCCTCTGTGCAAGGCCAAGTACCAATGCAAGATTAGGCAATTGTTCGTACACTAGCAGATCCACAAACACAGTCCCCTCAACACACGCTCATAAAATTAGGCAGTTGGGAAGGTGAAAGCATCCCCCTTGATGCGGGTGCTGATTTAAGGAAATTCCTTGGTATAAGAATCGATCTTCAAAAGACAGCTGCTTCCCTGAAGGATTTTGGGCACTGGTATCCTGCTTTCCTTTCTTTTCTTCCCCTTAATTCACATATTCTCCTCACCCTTCTTTTCTTCCTACTTTCCCTTCCTTTTCTTTCTCCACCTTCACTATGATAAAGATGTGTAGGTCACAGAACTAGCCATGGAGGACAAAAGGGCAGCCAGCCATTCCTTCCGAGG